CACACACACACGCACACACACACACACACACACACACACACACACACCCACACACACACACACACACACACACACACACACACACACAGTGTGACATGCGGGCAGACCAAAAAAAAAAAAAAATGTCCACACAAGGATCACACAGAGCCACCCAAAGACAGAGCAATGCTGAGACGTGCGCTTTGTGTTGCTCAGCGCCCCCTTTCCTTCCCAAAGAGCCCAGCGTGCTCCAACCGACAAGCGAGCACGTCTTCCACGTCAAACGAGGTGAGCCCGCCCGCCGACGGCTTCGAGCGGACCGCGGCGTTGCGGTGACGGGCGCTTTCGCGTTTCGCTTGCCGGCAGGCTCGTCCGTGCGTCTGGTGTGCCGGGGACGCTTTCCCTACTTGGACCGGGACTCGGACTGGGCCATCTGGTGGAGCGTGGACGGCAACGCGGTGGAGCGGCTGGCGGATCCCCGTTTCTCCGCAAGCAACGGGTAACAACATTTGTACTCTCCAACTCAAAGGCAGAGATGGGCATTCCTGGGATGGACGGGGGACGAGATCTTTTAGTTTTTAAAAGGACAGACTAAACTAGAACGGTGGCGGGTTTTCGTCCGTCCCCGTCCTCGTCCCTCACCGGGTTAGGTACGTGGTGTCGGGAGGCAAAAGAACAGGGCCAGAGTGTGGCCAAACGCTGTATTTTCTTCACAGGCTGTTTCATCTCAACGGTATTTTTATGCGGTGGCTACCCTGCCACCTCGTGTCCAGTCAGAGAACGTAACAAAGTGCCCGCGGACACCCATTTCACTCACGATCAATCCGGGCGGTGAAGGGAGCCGGCTGGGTTGCGTGTCTCTCGGTACCCGCCCACAAGACATGAAAAAGAGCCATGTCGTTTTTGTTTGGTTGATGCCCAGTCTCCTCTGCGAGAGGTCGTCACGGCGGGTAGGCAGGCGTATGCGTCCATGTTTGCCTGCGAGAGTCCCGCACATTTTTCAAAGTTTGGCACCGTGACATGTCATCCGTTTTGGATTTTCCGGACGACGCCGCCTTCTCCGCTTTGGAGTTGAGCGAGGAGGAAAACTGCCTCAAATCCCTCACACCTGGCCGATGATTCCGATACCTTCAGAGCTTGACGGGAGCGTGAAGTCAAGATGTCAACATCCATTTTGCTGACCATCGATCGCAGTTTCGGCACTCGATTCGATTCCCGCATGACGGGTTTGGGCCCAGGTCAAGTGCCCATCTCTGCTAAAATGTCCCCCGAGCCCAAAGTCACTTTCTTCCCTCATTTGCGGAACAACAAGCAGTCCTCTTTTGCCCTGAAGCGAGGCTTTTATTTCACAGTCACAATTTCATGATGGAACCAATGAAGAATCGGATTCGGTGATGTAGAATCGGGTTTTTTTTTCGCCTCAATTTCTTCAGTTGACATTGTGAAGAGCAGCAAAATGCATCTTCTTGTCCGCCAACATTTTCAGGGGGGCAGTTTGGAGCACAACTCCATTTGCGTTGAATGTCTCGCGTGGCCCTTTCGCAAAGCCCGAGTCGCCTGGAACACAGAACAAAACCGAAAGCTTTGTTTGCGGTCAGGCTGGTGAGCACCAAACACGGAGATCGCATCGAGGAGAGCGTCCTGCTGATCCGGGACTTTGGCTCCGAGGACCTGGGCAAGACCTACAACTGCTCCGTGAAGAACCGGCGAGGATTCCAGACGCGCAGGGCGCAGCTCCAGGAGGAAGGCGAGCGCCGTTTTGTTTGCCTTTTTGCCGTCGGGAAGAATGTCGCCGGACTTGCCCGCCAGATGCAACCGAGAGAACGTTTCCTGTTTTTCTCGCTTCAGCATGGGTGCCGTGGTTGGAGGTGGGCTGCGGTCTGTCCCTGATCCTGGCGCTGTCGCTGGCCGTCTCGGCGCTCTACAGCGTCTTCCGGCTGGAGCTGCTGCTGCTCTACAGGTCCCGCTTCGGCGCCGACGAGCGGCACACGGGTGAGGCGCGCCTCGGCGCTTTTTCCCGAGCAACGATATCGGGGTCAGCTTCAAGGCGTTAGCTTGCGGCTAGCGTCGGACTGGTGCGCTAGCTTCCGCCGCCCACGGGTGAGCGGAGACGCGTTACTGCACCCGAGACCCGAAAGAAAAGATGCCTCCTGGCGCGTGGTCGAACAGAGATTGCGATTAGCTACCAAGTTTGGTTTTTTTTTTGCTCCTTTCCAACTTGTTGCAACAAATGAAGTCATGATTTTTCTTTTCCGGAATATCCGTAACATTCGATGTAAAGGGCGTAACGAGGTCGCGTTCAGAGATTTTTCAATGAATTTTTTTCCAAAAAATCTGGACAAACGGTACCAGTCTTAATCTTCAACTTGCTCATTTCTGAGTTCAACTCAAAACTGGAATTGGCAGATTTCAACTGAAAGAACAATGTCACAAAACAAAACGCATTGCGGTGACGCACTTGTCACAAAGTTTCGGTTTCGACTTCGTGCCTGCTTCGTTCCCTCTGCCCGTCTTGAGCAAAGGAAAATTGCCGGCACCGCATTTTTAAAATGCTTCCCCCGTGACGTCACTCGCCTTCACGAGACATGATGGTCACTCTGGGTTTGATTGTCTGTTTGCGTAGAGGCGCAATGGAGAGATGCTGTGGACTGCTGACAACCAAGGAAGAACCAGGTACAGTTACCCCCCCCCCCCAACATCCTTAAACGGCAACGTGAAGATAATGGCTCATTTTCAATCATTAAGCTCAGGGCCTTCCAGCGGTGATTCAAGGGGACATCCACTG